CCAATGCACAACTCATGTGACACACACCCCTGTTATCAGGGTTCGTGTAACCTCGTTACACATTCTGTGTGGTACCAAATGCTGAGTTCTACTTGAGAACTATTACTCGCGACGAGACCGACGTGATTCTTTTCTTTTAGTGGACGGCGTTGGTCAGTCAAATCTGCTGGAAATTTACTGCGCAAGTTGAAATTCAAGCGTGGGAAACTCATGAGCCGTTGCATGTAACTCTAGGAACCACAAACTAATTTCGATTCGGTGCATTCTAGCCTTTAAGACCTCATCGCGTATCTCTTTCCTCGAAGTCGGGACTGTCCTTCTCCCTCCACCCCAGGAATTGCTTCCTCGCCTTATAAGCATGTATGTTGTATTTGAGGGACTGTTGTGAATAGTGTCCTATCACGGCTTTCCAGAGAAGATTGACAAGAAAAGGTGGTCTGTGTAGATCGCGGATCGAGGTATCAAAAAGGCGCGGAAGTCTCATGCTGGTCTTCTTTCTTTTAAGTCGGATAAAAGCAGATTCAGTAGTGTCATGTTTTTGCGAAGAAGCCATTATGTGTGCTGGAAATGCTAAGCTGGGTCTTGCAAAATTGCACACAACGTGTAGGGGTCATTAAGGTACCGAGCGCGATTACTTGAGGCAGTAGATCATACCCGACGACCCTAACAAACAACCAGCAAATTGTCTGAAAGTCCTCGTCGTGTTAACATCATGCGTCTCGATAGTTCAAACACTCAGGATCGTGGGCGTATAATACGGGATAAACATTCTTTTCAAACGTCTCGGATTCTGGCTGTAGCTCTTGCGAAGTGATTTTTCGAAACAGAGCGTGATCGTATCACTTGTTCATCTGTGTCGTAAAGCGAATGATAATGCTTGGCTGTGACTGGATCATGAGTGGCACCAAGCCATGACGCTTACAGCTAAAATGTTACACGATTGATTGGAGGTGCGCCATGACCGCTGTAGCGTGGCTACACAAGACGTTAGTCCTGGTGCTTCGTTTTGTCTGGTCTTGCACCACCAATGACTAAAATTAGGTGGCTTCGCTTATCGATGAGGCAATTTATGGACGGGATTCTTTGTAGACCTGCTTCAGGTTCGTTTGGATGTAAGTGCTCAAACTTTTAACTGACATTTTATCGACATTGTTGTCTATATTCGCACGCTGCACCTTAAATAGATAAACGGCGGGATCCTTTTACTGTAGGCTTAGACACGATGACTGACGACACCAAATCCAGACGCAGTAAATCTGGCGTGAAGGCTCGTTATCACTAATTTTAATAGCCGCAGAGATGTACTTTTCTGCGTGGGTGTGGTTCATCTGCCACCCGAGCTATAATGATGTACACGAGTCGTGAATCCTCGGTAACAAACCAGTTCTAGGTGATGCTATCGGTGATGTCGTCAGCGGGGCATTGTAACTCCAGATTTTTCCAGTGAGAATATTTGGAGTAGGGAGAAATCTTGAAGGCCTTTTCACAGATGGATATTGCCCAACTTCTTGCAGATCTCGAGTTCAGTGCTTATTAACCTTATTTTTTTCTCAAAATCAGTTTAAAGTCCCGTAGACGGACGATGCTGCCCAATACATAACTTAGAATTTTGATTAGTACCCGACGTGGTTATAATTTCCGTGTCTAAAAACGTAGAGGCCAAATTTCTTGCATACTTCTACATGGGTTAGAATTGCTACTCATTGGCGGTGCTGCGGCATAGCGCGTTCTTGATAGTTTTTTGGCTCTGCGTTGGTACACCATGATGCGGTACTGCTTTTCTTTCAGCACTCGTGCGTTCTTCGTCTGGAAACAATTTTTCTGCCTTCGCAAATGTCTTATCCGTGAAATTAGTCTTTCTCTGTCGTCATGCATCGGCACACCAGCTTTTACGCCACTCAGTGTTGGCCACAGAAGTCTTAGCCGGCCATGTAACGGGGTCACACAAGATGGTGTGGTCACACAATAGTGTAGCTACACTTAAACAGCAAGTCAGTAGGTGGCTAGAAAAGCCAGTAGTAATGCAATTCATTAGGTTTTACTAATCATATAGAAAACCTATATATTTAGATATAGGCGGCTTTGCCGCAAATAAAACCGAGAAATACAGTTTACGTTTTAAACGGAAGAGCTAATTAAGGTTGTACTAACTCTTTGAGTAAGAGAATTGCGATCCGCTACACTCGTACTGTTTTTAATTATAGAACGAAGGTCGCTAAGCTGTCTCTTAGTGAAGGAAGGAGCTACGGCAACCCCGCTACAGGCGAGGTGTTCTTGGGAGAGATTTTCATTATGAAGAGTATGTGTGAATATCTCTTTCTGGATTTCCTTAGATACTACTTACTGCGTGTAGGGGTCGTGTAGGGAGTCTCTGGACGGCTGTCGCTCGATCTTCCGTGATACGATAATCGTACTTCAAAAACTCATATTCTTCATCAGGCTGTAAATTAAAAGTATAGACTCGACAAAACAGAGCAAATGCAACGTTTGTTTTACCATTGAATTTTCGCAAAGCTAATAGAATCAAAAACATCTAATTATGATTAAAGAATGTTCACAACGTCCTCAATGTGGTGGAAAACTCACAAGGCAAGAACGGGAGCAATGTCTACATAGCTATTAATACGATCTACGTCGTGAGATATTGGTCCAATGACTCGCCGGAAATGTCCTCAATTTGCTTGATCACGCGATGACACGTCCTTTCAACCTCTTCATTCGTGTCTTCCATCAGCTCAGCCAAGAAAGGAATACTTTCAGGAAGCATAGCAAGAAACTCGTCGCCAATTACTTGGTAGCATTTTTCCACTGTCACTAGAGCCGCAAGACGCACAAGAGCGCTGTTACCACGTGACTTCATTAGCACCGCGTAGTGCAGTGGCTTCCACAACAAGTCGCTTCTTGCAGCCCATGCCAGATTAGCCAGACACGGCGCAACAACGTCTAATATGAACTGGCGCATCGTGGAGTCATGCTGCAGTATGTCAAGCACGTCCACCAATGGCGTCAAAACCATGTCAAATTGTTCCTTTTCGATAAATCCATCATTATCATGCATAAAGCAACCATCCAACGCACGCACAATAGTAGTCAACAGCAATAAATTCTGTTCGCGGTCAGTTGTCGCATTGGTTGCTATTGACGAATCCAACTTTCTTTTTTTAGCCGGCAAGTCGTCTTCATTAACGAAAAAATCGTCATCGTCGCTGTCACCATCCTCTGCTGACAGTGGCGGCTTTTGCAGCAAGACCTTACGACTTTCGACCAGCCCTAAAGTACTGAATTCCAGAAAGTGTGCGTAGTATGGAACAAAAATGCCACGTAAACGCTCGGACAGCTTCGAAACTAGCTTGAAAAATGAAATCCAGCGCAACTTGTTGCTTTCTTTTCTTGAAGAGCCAATGCGAGTCTGCGCCCACTCAACAAGCTTCAGAAACAGCGGTTTAAGTTGCTTTTCACTTAATTTAAGAATAAATTGTACGAAACAATCTAGCATCTCTTCCTCCACCCTGTCAAGGTCTTTCAGCTTGGAAGCGTGCACACGACGAGCGTCCAATGCTGTGACAAAAAAGCGAGCAAAAGACGGCAAGTGCTTTCGAATGACCGATAAGTTCAATTTGTTCACGACGGTCCCTACAACTGAAAACAAGCGAGTCACACTTGTATCGTTTTCCAGCGTCAGCACGTGCTCGTATGCCCCAAATAGTGTGGAGAGAAGCTGCCGTAATTCAACGTGATTGCACAAGTTAACAAAACAGGAATCGACTAACATCAAGACTGCTGCATTTGCTGGAGAAGTAGATAGCAACGATGGAGTTAGAAGCGCGCGAATGACGGCAGGAAGGTACGGTCCCAAAAATTGATAAATCTTGTCCGTGAAGATCTCTAGCGCGATCAACAGACATTGCAACACCGACTTAGTACCATCAATACTATGGGACGCTGTACAATAGTCAATTCCACTTAGTAGTCTTGGGAAGAATTTCGGCAAGAGCGGCAATATCACAGGACCAATAGCACGACATATCGAGGACAGACACACGAACGCACAACCAAACAGGTGTAACGTCATAGGTGGCGCATTGTTGACATTTTGATCAACGTACTTCACAATCGTCGGGAGGATCTGCTGAAAGCGTTTGATATGTCTTGAAGCGAAATTTCGGGCCAAGATATCGACACTAAGAAGAGCAGTCTGGATATTCACACTATTCTCGCAGTTCTCAGAGTTCTGAAGGATAGTATCAAGTTCATCCAGCATGTCAATAAACAGTAAAACTTCGCCAGACGAAAGGGAAGTGTGTTCCTCCTGTAAACGCTCGTTAAAAAGCTGCATCGCCTTCTTTCGCACAAGGCTATTATCATGGTGCAACAGCTCAGTGATGACGGCGACGAATCCAGGTGTCGAAAGAAGCTGCTGCAGAGCCCCTAACATCTCCATGGAGTCAGAAGCAAGAGAGGTCCAGAAACCGCTTACGTCGTCGTGAAGAGACTGCTCTTTAGCGACACGACGGAAATAAAGCAAGTCGAGCTGAGCGAGCATTAGATAATTCTGCTGCAGCATATTGTCATCCACGTCATCAACCGACTGATCTCGCTTTTTCTCATAATTTAAAATCTTGTGGTGCAACTCACGAGCACGTAAATGTGCAGCCACAAACTTTACAAGGATTGTATTCAATCTCCGACAAAGTAAAGGTGACTTTACTAACCGATCATCGAGAATAAAGTCTTCGTACACCACATCGTCTTCATCTTCATCCAATTCGTCCGTATCTGTATCAGCTTCTTCTGTGACGTGAGGAAGTAAGTCACGAATCATACGGACTATCATCACTAGCGACGATACTTGCTCAACACAAGTAAAATAAAAGCATAAAATATGTGCAAATTGTATCCATTCGCGCTGTAAGTCCGTATCCTCATCCAAAGCGGCACTTTGCAGCAGCGCCACCGTGCAGTATGCCAAAAAATCACTTCCAAGAGCTTTTACCACAATGACAAACAATGCCTCTCGCTTGCTTTTAGGTATCTGATGAAACGCAATCACAAACATGGCAATAAACTGCTGAGGAGTGATCAGCGCCGATGAATCGTGGCGTTTCGCAGCAACAATGTGTGGTACCACCGCTTTTATAATCGTCTCAAGTATATGAAAGGAATACTCATCCTCTTGAAGAATCAAGCTATGACTGACAAATCTCAGAATCTCGTTGAGCGACGTGAGGACACTCACTGGATGCAAATCAACTAGCGAGCTGATGAAAAGTAAGGCTTCATTACGCGTCTGAGGGGAGGTTGTGCGACTCAAGCATGTGAGGGTATGCTTGACCAAAAATTCGGGCTTGACTGCTACCGCACACTTCGTCACTTTATCCAAATTCTCAGTAGTTGACATTGTGGATGAGACAGTGACCTCGCAGACTCGACGCAAGCAACCAAAAAGAACTTGTAAAATGTAGTCTGAGACGATTTTCTCCCGCTCTGCATCGCAATACACAGCGAGTACGTCGCATAAAGTTGAAAGAAGTTTGCTAATATCTGCATCAGCTATTTCGGAACTTGACACACTATCGACCTTGATCGCCAAGACTTCAAGAACACAATTAAGCCCGGTACGGTCCTCGTTTTGACGAATGAGCTGCTCTTCTAGCAGTCGCACAAAAACGTTGTAGCCAATGGGTAGTGCGTTGAGACATGAAATGAGTTTGGAAGCCAGAGCTTCCTCTGCTACGATCAGCAAGCTGAGCAGCCTGTCGACAAGAACATGACGAGACACATCGTCGAAAGCGCAGTAGACTTGCGCTGTCAAGTTACCTGCAATAAATAACTGTAATTTTTGCAAATTTATAACAGCTTCTTTATCAGTGCGCAGAACAGCAACCACTGCATCCAGGAACTCTTTCGGGACCGTGTCCTTTCCTTGCTCCGTCTTGGCGACGGCAACATCCGCGTCCAAATAATGGCCAAGGAAATCTACCAGCAACATTTCAGAAGCAGTATCAGTCCCTGATGCTAACACTTCAGCAACAGTCTGGTGAAAAAAGTTCACTGATCGCAGCCAGAATGAGGTTTTCTTTACTGGTGCTAAAAGTTCAAGAAGCTTCACTACGATGCACATTTCACCACCACTTGCAGATGTCACGAAATTCATTAGAAGCTGGTTGAAAGACATACTGTCTTCTTGAGCAATGTATGAGCCACATAATGACGCTAGAGAGTGGGCGTCCATTAAAATATCTTGCTTAGCCAGAAGAAAAAACTCAGAGGCCTTCTGAAGAGTGTTCAGAGCAGAAGAGTTAGAATTTTTCACAGCACTTCCACACGATACAACCCACCGATCCAGACAAGTCACAGCAGACTGACGCACAACCTTGCTAGGGTCAGCTAGTGTAGCAATAACAACTGGGACAATTTGGACAAGTTGATAAAGTTCTTCATCAGTTTCTGTGTAAGTAAAGCCTTCCAGAACCGCAGATATAATGTCCAGAGATCGCGTTTTCGCCAAATTGGTTAATATGTCAGATGCAGGTTCGAATTTTGTGACAATACGAGCCATTGTCGGTAACAGTTGTGTCTCTAAGTCAGTATGAAACAGCTCTAATAAGCACTTTTGGTTGCGGATAAATATAGGGATAGGAGACTGTAGCAATAAAGCAACGCATTCATCAAACTCGTCGCGAGAAAAACGAAACGTATCGTAAGCAACCTCAGTCAGCTTCGTAGCAACAACACTAGCGTGCAGAACTTGATCTTTAGATACTTCATCTTCGCATGACATTGCAAATTCTTTCTTGAGAAATTGCAAGAAAAAACGATCTAATGCGAGCTGCTGCTCCTTTATTTTCTTAGATTTTGCCTTCCTCGTTGTCAAATCAATTCGAGCAGCAGAAAGGACCTTGAACAAAAAGCCCGAAAGACATTTATCATTGAAATCGGACGTCTGAGTCCATCGCGCACAAAAAGGCAGTAAAGTAGGCAGATTAGCTGCTAAATTGTGACCAAGAATTTTGACCACATCGGCAATCGTGTCTACTTCCACTCTAGACCCGCTTGCTACTAAAGTGTGATCTAAAGCAGTTATCCAGGACCACACAGTCTTGACCGACACAACGCTCTTCTCTTCTTCAACAAGAGAAACAAAAAACGTCAGCATATTTTCATCAATCTCGAGTAAATTGTCTCCACTGCGATAAGTCTTCAACGCAAAGTCAACGATTGCTTCAACCATAAGCGCATCACCGCGAGAAATCCACTTGCGTATTGCCTGCACAGCGGCAACCAAAACTTTCTGTTTTATACTTAAGTTGAGTAGTAGATCACCAAGTGAACTGGATACCACAAATCTCGCAATGCGTTTGCTATCATCTAAAAGCCGACGCACCAGAATATCCTCACAAGTGAGGACCTGATTGTTGCCAGTAGAAGACCCGACACTCACATCATTCATCTCCGCTAACGAGACCAACGCCTGATAACGAATGTGTTCCGTTGGATGATCCAATGCGAGAGCTAGTGATGTGCTTGAATCTGAAGTCGAAGGCACAAAATGTGCGGAATTGGCAACGCTCCCAAACGTTTTGCTGATAAATTTGTTCAAATCCTTGTCAATTTTCGATTTTTTTGCCTGCTCAGACAGCATAATGCTGATGGCCGCGTCCACTTTAGACGCGTTCTTCTTACAAAGGGCTACAAGCGTCTGCGAAATTGCCTGCACCCGCGCATTGTCCGTTGCAAATGCTTCGTCTTTAGCTTGCTGTATCAATGTCTGCACCAACAAATCTGTGAGTTCATCCACAATCGAAACACTCTCAATTAATGCTGTCAGCAAATTAAAGTAACCATCATGCGTAGAGTTCATCTGTTGCGTCAAGAAAACGGTTAATAATCGAATAAATTTGGCCGAGTCGTACTTGGAAGTCGCATGACGCAAGTAATCCACGAAGTTATCCATGTGCACTAAATGCTTGCCAGCTCTGGTGGATATATGGAACGATGGCTGCGTCTGTGCCAGAAAAATGGCACACAGCAACGCGTTAAGCTGCGCACCCGACTGTGCGTGTTTTAACAGACTTTTCACTAGTGCATCCACCACTTTGCCCGTTAACGTGGCCTTGGCAGCTAGCTTAGTCACAATCATGCAAGCTGAGGACTGTAACTCCGGGAACTGGGTGCTTTTAAGCGCTGTTAACAGCTGTGGAATCAACCAACGCAGCATGGGATCGCTCACTTTGCTGTGTTCGAGAATCTGCAGCACTACGAGTGTGTAAAGTGACGTCAGCTTTGCATGACTCGCGCCCAATCGAACTGCAGCATTAAATACAAAATCAATGACGGAGGACTCATCAATGGCACGTTGTACGAGCGCTGCCCGCAGAAGCGGCGTGCCTTGCGTTTTAACGCCAAGCATAAACTCCCACCGTGTATTGCGAATGTGCAGGATTCGCACCATGCGTACAAACCAAGATGACTCGTGATACGCTATTATCATGGACATGACTGCATCAATATTATACCGATGTATTTCATAGCGACGCACGAGAAACTCGATGACCTTGTGTGTGGCGCCTAATAAAAAGTAAGAGCTAAGTGCATCTAGCACCTTATCCAGCGCGGTATTGAGCTCCTTAGCGTCTTTTTCGGTGATAAGGGAGCGGTGAAAATGGATGCGTTGACGACTAAAAAGTTTCGCTACGTGTGTGTCCGCATCCAATTCTTCGAAGCGTGCGTCTAACTGCTTGAGCTCTAGTAAGCCATTCCATGCTAGATTATACACCGTCTCGTCGTCCAGACGCGCTGCTTCACGCTGTTCGTATAAAAAGGTGTCAGTACGGCGCTTGCTCCCTCCACCAGCTTCGCGAAGTTGCTGTAGTTGATTCGCGAGCGCGCTGGCCATGGTGAATCAAGAGTGATTGTCTCGCCAATCCTTAGCCAACCGTGGCCTAGTTTTGATACTGACGTTAACTTGGTATACCTACCATAGCCAATGACTGGCGCCAACGCTAGAACCAAAAATAGCTTAATCTGCTAAATGAGTTGTACACATTGCACACGAGGATGTTCTTTTTTTCACAAAATTTGCTTGGGTCTTTTGCCACAAACATAGAAGCTACATGCTCTAATTCTTGTTTCCTTTTCTTTTGTAGTAAGAATAAAAACCAAGACTATATGTCTAATACTGAATCACAGTAAATTCACGAGTAGCATAATATGGAACACGCCACACATTTTGTTGATCAGTCGCAAGTATATTACAGTAGTATTACTATTTTTTGTGACCACACACTGAATTTCGCCGCAATAAAGAAAAACCTGTTTTTGATCTATTTCGCCCTTATAAAACACGATTTTTAAATATTCAGACTATTTTCCCTTTCATTGAAGTCGAGTGTTGGTGATGAAGATGCGGGGGCCTGGTTGCTTCAAATTTGCAGTGAGCAGGACCATCCCAATTAGGGCGATGGGATCGGCCACACCAAGAATATCGGGTTATCCAAGCTTTGTGAAGATCGTGGAGGTGGGACCGCGAGACGGCCTACAAAACGAGAAGACCCTTGTCTCGACCAAAGACAAAGTCAAGCTCATCAACTTGCTATCCGACACGGGCTTGTCATCCGTCGAGGCAACATCTTTTGTGTCGCCTAAGTGGGTCCCACAAGTGCGAATATTGCTTTCGATGAATGGGAGAGTAAAAGGGACCAAGCTAATCTTTATATGTAGATGGCCGACAATGCTGACGTTCTGAACGGGATTACGCGCAAGGAAGGCGTGTCTTACCCAGTCCTTACGCCAAATCTCAAAGTAAAAGGCATCTTCATTGCGTGGTTATAGGCATAATGCTGTTTTCTTGTTTGACTATATAGGGATTTAATAATGCAGTTGCGGCTGGAGCGAAGGAAGTAGCAATCTTCGGCGCGGCATCTGAGGCATTTAGCCTGAAAAATATCAATTGCTCCATTGAAGAAAGCTTAGAGCGTTTTCGCCCGGTGTGCGAAAAGGCAATGAGTCTTGGGGTCCGTGTTCGTGGGTAAGAGAGAGTGGTTGATGTCAGTGTTCGATCTTTACACTAATCTCTGGACACAGATACGTTTCGTGCGTACTAGGATGCCCTTACCAAGGTCAGGTGAATCCGTCTACAGTTGCAACAGTAGCTTCAAAAATGATCGAATTGGGTTGCTACGAGGTGTCGCTGGGCGATACTATCGGTGTTGGCAATCCTGGTAAGGCTATGAGCTCTTCGAGTCCATGTAACCCGTAACTCATCGTCGTTGCAATGGTCATGGCCAGCGTCTACTTTGAGGATGCTCCAAGCGACCAAAAAAGTGATTCCGGTTGGGCGTCTAGCCGTGCACTTCCACAACACATATGGGCAAGCGCTGTCTAATCTTCTCATCGCACTACAAGTACAATATTATGCCTATTTACATATTTATCATGGTAATGAAACGCCTATATCGTTTGCAGGAGGGCATCGCTGTCGTTGACAGCTCTGTGGCAGGACTTGGTGGTTGCCCGTACGCTAGCGGAGCTTCTGGAAACGTTGCGACTGAGGATGTACTCTACATGCTGCATGGTCTTGGTATCCAGACAGGCGTCGACCTCGATAAAGTAATTGAAACAGGCGACTTCATAACCAAGATTCTAGGCCGTTCGACCCACTCCAAAGTAGCTCAAGCATTTGGACCAAAAAAGACTACAATTCCTCTCATGAACTTATAATACTGAGCCAGGCGTATGTTTTTATCCAATCACATCTTTTGAAACTGTGCGCTTTACCGATCACAAAACGTCTTCTCACTTGCAGAATGGGCAGCTTTAGCTCAAAAAAGCAGCACATGTCCTCGACCGCTAGTGCTGCCAGCAGCGGTAAAGCGAGTGATGTTCGTGCACAAATCACATCAAAGGATAAGGCTGTTCTTGACCTAAAGAATGCCCGCGATCGTTTAAGAAAGTACCAGGCCCGACTAGACATCGAAGCCAATCAGTTGCATGATAGTGCCAAGAGACTGCTGCAAGCCGACAAGCGGGTAAAATATTGACAGACGTAATGCTGACGACGTGCTTATATACAACTCTAAGTTTCCATCTTTATTCCGAGCAGGACCGCGCTAAATTGGCGTTGAAGCTGAAGAAATATAAGGAACAGCAGATGCACCAGGCGGACGAGCATTTGATCCAGGTGCTGGGTATGCTGGATACAGTGGAATGGGAGACTCAACAGCTCCAAGTGTTTGAAGGGCTGAAAGCAAGTAATTTAATTCTAAACGCTATTCATAAGGTGCGTAATCTGACAAAAAATCATGATGTGCATTGTATGCTGAGTACGTTGCTGCAGGAGATGACGGTAGAAGCGGTCGAAGAGCTGATGCTAGAGACAGCAGAAGCACAGGCCACAGCGAATGTACGTTGCAATACCTCGTACGAACTTTCCTCTGCATTTAAATGTACTGATTGCGGTCGTTCTATAACTTTGTGGGTAACAGGAAATTGGTAGGATCATTGGTGGTAACTTATCTGTCGAGGACGAAGACGCTGTACTCAGCGAGCTCGCTGAGATTGAAAAACTTGAGGCAGACGCACTTGCTGCAGCAATGCCGGAAGCTCCCATTTCTACAGGTGCGAGTGATTTTCCCAAATCACCTCGTTTGGTACTGACTGGAGTGTATGCAAAACGAATAGACTTGTTGGCTAATGTGATCACTTCAGCACAAGCGGACGATGGTGTCAAAACAAAGTCTCGCTCAACTAAAGCAAAGGAAGAAGCTGTAGCAATTTTAGGATGACAGACAGGCAAAGATTTTGTAGTCGAATGTGGTACCAGCCAACCAGTGCGACAATAATTTATGCAGTACATCGTTACTTTCTGTACTCACCCGTTAATTCATCATGACTTTAAAGTATAAGTAATCGCCAATCTTTCGTGCTCAAACAACATCTCATTACAGTACCAACCGTCCGTCGCACAAATCCCTGACGTATTTTTATGACTGCCGCATTGTCGACTGTCCCGACAATCGCCTTGGGAGCCTCAAGCGAGTGCGACTTCCTCACGCCATGGTGCGATCCCGCGTCTTTCTACCTGTATCTGGCCATGTCTATACTATTGATTTGTGCCGCTGGCATGATGGCAGGCCTAACTATGGGTCTTTTGTCATTAGACATGCTCAATGTGCGTATTCTCGAGATGGAGGGTTCAGACGACGAGAAGAAATACGCCAAGCAAGTGTTGCCTGTATTGACTAAACATCATCTTCTCCTCGTAACATTGCTGGTTGTCAATGCAAGTGCAAACGAAGCACTGCCAATTTTTCTCAATAAATTGGTACCTGAAGCCGTGTCCATCGTACTGTCCGTAACCTGCGTCCTACTTTTTGGCGAGATCATCCCTTCAGCAGTATTTACTGGTCCCAATCAGCTCCGAATTGCTGCAATACTTTGTCCGTTTGTAAAAGTCTTGATGGCAATTACATTCCCAATTGCGTATCCGATTAGTCGTGTGCTCGACATGTGGCTTGGAGACGACCACGATCCAGCTCAATACAAGCGCAAAGAGATTAAGGCTCTGGTGACGTTGCAGCGTGAAAATGATGCGGCGCGACGATCGTTTGCTGATCACTTGCGGCAATCGCAGCGGCTTCACGACACTCCTACGCACTCTCAAGCGATGACGACAATGTCGGCGATTAGTGACAGGCAGCCACTGCTAACCCCACACTCGCTGTACGAGGACTCGGCACAAGGCACACGTCTACATGTAGATGAAGTGACAATAATACATGGTGCACTCGATCTTGCTGCAAAGACTGTCACGGAGGTGATGATCCCTATGAAAGATGTGTACATGCTCGAACTCGACACAGAGCTGTGTCCAGACATGCTAGCAAGAATATTGGCGCACGGACACAGTCGAATCCCCGTGTACGAAAGGCACAAGTCAAATATTGTTGGTTTGCTGCTTGTAAAAAAGCTTATTGTGCTGGATCCAGATGATCGTCGCCCAATTAGAGACTTAATGCTGCGAAAACCAATTCTGGTGAGCCCGAAGGAATCGTGCTACTCGATACTTAATGAGTTTCAAAAGGGCCACTCGCACATTGCGCTGGTGACGGAGGATGTTAACAAGGTGTTGAGGTGTTGGCGTTCGCAAGACGAAATTCCTGAAACTGTTTTATTTGATGGCATCGTGACCATCGAAGACGTGATTGAGGAACTCATCCAGGAAGAAATCGAAGACGAAAGCGATTTGTACGTTCATGACATCGTAGATTACTGGCAAACTCGCTACCGAGAAGTCAGAAAGGGTTCAGGATCGGCATTTGTGAAAAAGCGCCTCCGTTTATTAGCGGATCGTGCACGACGTCGCGTGAAAAGCCGTCGTTTGAAGCAAGCTGTTGGACCTTCAAGTGGTAGAACCAGTAGGTCTTCAAGTATCCCCCAGCCGGATCCTATGGTAGAGGTGAAAATTATATCCGAGAAAACTCCGCTGTTATGAGGGCAATGTAAATGCCGGAATGTTTTATCTTGGTTTACAAGCTGTAAGATACTTGATAACTATTTGCATATTTTGGTATTTGACTTGATATCGTAACGGATACGTGATAGAGTATTAGCTTTGCAAATGCCAACACACTCTTGAGAAAAGCAATTTATTTTTCATGAAGAAAAGCTACAGGGATCAACGCCTTACTTCTTTGAAAATTCGACTGCTGCTTCTGTGACAGACAGTAAAGGGTCGAAACGTCATTTGTAACCACGGGAGATGCCAAGGCCAGACCCCCTTTAATACAGCAAAAACAGCACCGAGCATACCCCATCAACACTATAAAGAGGCATGCTACTGGAAATGGTATAGATTTACCAGTCCTTGATTCACCACTAACTTCGCCGTGCACTCGATGCGAGATCTCCCGGTTTAGCAATCGCAATCTAAAATTCGAGTTCGTGGCACGGTATCCAGTTATGATCTCGTCTACTACACGAGCAATCAGACATTGATTTCAGCAAAGGGCACCACAGCACTGCATTGTTCATTTTCACAAAAACCAAGAAAAAACGCCAACGAAGTGTACGATCCAGTCGATGAATTGCATTTAATATTTTTGTAGACAATGCAGTACAGAAAAGATAGCGTGTGGATCAAAAATTACGCCAACTTGCCGTCATTGTATATACTACGAACGGAGGATTCTGGTCGGGTAGGGGTAACGCCCTTCCGGGAAGCTTGGGGAGTATGATGCTCGCCCAACGCTTTCGGCAGGTGCTTCACCGCG